CCCTCTCTCTCTCTCTCTCTCTCTCTCTCTCCTGCGTGCAAGCGCACTGTTGCTATCTTGGCCCTCTTGCTCTCCGATATGGGCACTATTTGCTAAGTCGCTTCCTCCCTGCTCACCACTGCCTGGACCAAAAGAGAGAGCCTCATCTCGTTTCTTCCATTTTTGCAATAACGCCTCAAGAATTCCAAGTCGGTATGTGAGTCTGAGAAAAAGAACTCCGTTGCTTCTTCTGTTTCTAATTATTTTTCTTCTTCTTCTTCTTCTTCTTCTTCTTCTTCTTCTTCTTACCAGTAATCATCATTGAAAGCATGACACCATCTGGAAGAGATTTCGATAGAGATGGACCCGATTCATCATCCTTGTCATTAGAGTCGCTTGCCAATGGTCGAAGTGGTAGATCTCGCCAGGCTGACATGTTGTTCAAAAAGAGCCAAAAAAACACACCGACAGCAGGCAGCAGGAGGGAATGGTTAGCTCACAGCCTAATTCATACAACGATCTCCTGCTACTTTTAGAGACACGAGCATGAACATATATATATCAGGAGGTTATGGACATACACAGCCACCAACGTACGGTCTGCTAACTCTGGTTCAATCCATCCTTTCAAGGTACATTCCAGGTTGATGGAATGCAGCAAGTAACCACGGCTTCGAACGTGCTTTCACGTCCTTATCTGCACTGAGAGTCAGAAATTTCCTCAATGTTCACAAGAATCACAACCTTGTCCGTAAAGTTCGCGTAAACCTATTCATAAATGACAGGCAGCCTGCACCGCAGGCCTGTGTGGGCTCAAAACTTTTCAAAAGTGAGCGAAGAAGGGTGTACCACTCTAACACCCAGTCAACACAAGTGGTTGCGTGACGACACACTTTTCCCTCGGGATTTAGGCCCTTTTTTTTTTCTTTTTTTTTTTTTTGCTGTTGGTTTATTCGGTGTCCACTCTATGGACAGGTGCCAAGTCTGGTGTAAAAGCTGCGGGTTGTTCGTTATAATGACCATTATGACCCTGAAAAAACCCTCCTCAAAATTTAGGCCTCTGTTAACCTCTTCTCTCAAATACTACCGTAGGAGACCAGAGATTCGAGCTCTGCAAATCCGACCCTGTACATCAATATCTCTTTCTCCAAGCAGGGCAAACAACGAAGTGATCGGCCGAAAGCAGGCATAGGCAAAAAAAAATGTGTGCCCGTTGAGAGATGGATCATAAGTTCCCTCCAATAGATGTGGGTAGTTGACAAGCAAAAGGTTCAGCCCTGGCAAATTGGCAATAAACTCGAATAAATTTCAATAAAATTGAATAAAATTGAATAACCTTGAATTAACTTGAATAAATTTGAAAAAAGTCGAATAAAGAAAAATATCATCCATTGAATCACATTGATTCCATTATGATCTACTGCAGATCCAAAGCGGAAACAATTGGGGGAACTCATTTAACTCTCGCAGTTGTCCCTGAGGACTTCAGAAGAAGGGGGGGGGAAATCAAAAAATGCACAATTTTTTTTTATTTTTTTTTTTTTTAACTAAATGAAAGCAAGTCCTTATGGTCCTGGCTCCATATCCATTCTGGGAAGCATCAGTCCGGTTCCTGTCCACCGGCAAGTCGAGAATTGGAATACATGGTGAACACTCTCACGCTTCCTTCCGTCTGGCCGAAGGAACCCTGACCAGCATTGATTGCTCCTTTTTGAGTGAAGATAGGGAGACTTTACGTTCACCCAGAACAGCCTGAGTCAATCAATTCAATATGTAAATAGCGGATATAGATTAAAGGTGAATTGTCTGCCTTCCAAGCCTACCGCTTTTCCTCTCAGAATCCATTTTGATTATGTCATGTGGTTCGTGTGCAACAAGAAAAGAGGAGAGTTGTCTGTACTCTTGAGACTATGGTCTCAGTTTGCAGATCGGTGGGTCATCGTGCTTGCTGGAGTTTCGCGGTGCCATTTTTTTTTCCAGATCAATCTCTTATCTGCCACTGTTGTGATCTTTCCCCGTAGGAGCCAGTCTCTCATGAAAGAACGTCTCTTGGTGGCTAGCCTTTCTGGTCTGACTTTCCCTGTTGATGTAACCTCCTCCTTCCATCTGCACCGAATCTCAGTTTCCGTCATACTCAACAGTAAAAAACAAACAAACAAACAAAAAAAAACAGTAGGGCCCACATTTCTTCCCTTGCCACCTCAGTTCTCTCGATCGTCTTGGTACAACTCCTTTTCCAGATCACCCACAGGCCAGCTTCCTGAGAGAAGGTGAAACCAGATTTCCTTGCCGCCTTTGAGATTGCTAGTACTGTTGGATAGAAGGAGGATGTTTTGAGGAGATGTGGTGGGGAGGGGGTGATGAGAAGAGGAGGGACCATAGGTCATGAGCTTTGTTTCCATAACCAGGCTGCTTCCGTGCAGTACAAGAGGCAGTGGGGTATGTCTTCTGGTCTGTAGTCTGTGCACATAACACATAATTCGGCGCTGTCGGGATCCGTAAGTTTCCTCCTCTTGTGGAGCCATTGGTTGACGAGCAGGGGTGCATGGAATACGAGCCACTGCATGCTTCGGATCCTAGCCGGTCTGATGGACAGGTACTTCATCCAGGGGATGGAAACGGGGTCAGTAGGTTCCAGGTTCAGGATCTCTCTCCATTTTCCTTCGAGTCCGGGATCCAGGTCTGTAGTTTGTAATCCTAAGTCCTAACCGAAATTTACGTCGCATTCGGATATCGTTCTCGTTCTCCCGGATTTCCCCTGTTTCCAGATCCACTCTTTCGGCTCGAATTCGAGGTCTGAGATGCAGAGATCATGTTGGAAGATTATCCAGCGTTTGGCTTTTGTGACCCTCACTTTCCTCAATCGGAAAGATTCTAGCATGCCCTAAACCCTAAACCCTAAACCCTAAACTCAGTCCGGTTCCTTTTTTTTTGTTGAAAAATTTGGACCATTTCTCGATTTATGCGTGTCATCCATGCGCAGGGCCCATGCTAATCTTCTCTGTATCGTTCCAATTTTAACGGATGTCCCGAGGGACTCTCAGTCCGGTTCCTATTCGACCGGCAAGTCGGAATAAAACATTACATCATGAAACCCACTCACGCTTCCTTCCGCCCGGCCGAAGGATCCCTGACCAGCATTGATTAGTCCAACATCGTGGAGGATTGACTGTCAGCTTGCCTTACTTCCTCCTTTCCTCTCAGGTCTACTGCATGAACCTGCCGGGATAAATGATAAAAAGCAAGAAAGGTAAAAGAAGCCACGGAAGATGCAATATCGGAATTCGCCCTCCAACATTATGTGACCTGTGATGGAACTAGTCCTGCTGCTGGCTGGGAACTCTGCCTTCTCCTCCCTGCTTCTGAGTTGTGCCAGTCTTTCCACTGTATGCGAGAGTCAATTACCTCTGCCACTTTGCCCCTTGCAAGCCACACCTTAGTGAAATTGGCCTTAATTCTTTTCTGTTGCTCTTCATCGTCTGGCATGGATTGTCTTGTCTTATGCCTCTTACAAAGAATCTCCGCCTGAATCAGGGTCCTTGTCTCCGCCCATACCTTCTCTCTTGGAGTTGAGAGTCCCTCAATGGTTCTGCAGCACCTTTCCTTCCAGATAGACCACAGCGTTGTCTTTCTGATCATTCCAAACCACATTTTTTTCTGTCTTATGGAATTGGGCTGGGATGTTAGTCCAAAAGGTTGAAAAAAATGAAGTTTGAACGTAGTTGCCTAATTCCGTTCGCGCCTATTGTTGTCATCCATATGTAAATTACAGATGGAAAATTTAAACATGCGCGATTGCATCCCTTGGAAGTCCACAAAAAGAAAACAGCAGGTCAGATACATGAGATGTCTACAAAAAGAAAACAGCATCGCTTCTATGACCATGAGATGTCCACGCAAAAAAAAAAAGAAAGTGGTAGGTGAAACTAGGTTGCCCAGATATCACTGAAGATAGGAAACTAAATTAGAAATTTAGAACAGATTAAGATAAGATATTACCAATTTACCACCTCTGTCCTTCGGGACATCCATTAAATTGGAATGATGCAGAGAAGATTAGCATGGCCCCTGCACAAGGATCACACACACAAATCGAGAAAAAG